AGGAGGGACGGGCAGCGGCAAGGGGATGAGGGAAAGGAGGAGTGGCGGCCCTGGGGGCTAGGCTGGGGCGGGGCGGCTGGGTCAGGGAGCGCCTTCCAGGGCCTGAGCAGCTCTCTTTCAAACGGGCTTCGTCTCCCCGAAGCTTTACACCTCCGAGGTTTTCCACAGATCCAGCAGTTGGCCAGAGTGGAGTCACACCTCTTGCTCAGTCCTCGTTTTCCAGGTTGAACAAGGCGCATCATTCCTGCTAGACAGAGTCCTGGTTTCCGTCTTCATCCTAAGAGCCCGTCTCTGCACCTGTTCCAGTCATCTCCCTTCTCATGTGCTAGCCTTGTATGCACCATTGCAGATTAAATCTTGCCAGACCCTTCTTCAGTGGAAGAAAGGGAAATGTTTTGCTTTGTGCATGGTTAAATTGTATTTGCTATTTTCACGGCCTGTGCCTGATGCTTTCTGGTTACCTTGTCAGGTTCGAATACGCTCCTGTCTGATTTCCATCTGAGAAGGATTTCTGACATAACGTGTTAATTTATTTATTTATTAAGTGGAGGACATTGCACTCCATAATCCTCAGTCTTGTATTGTTTTTTGTAATGTAATTCTCCCTTGTTTTCCTTCTGTATGTTATGTTTCTGATTTTGTGCCAAAAGTGTCTTCATACTCATTGTGTCAAAGTCATTAATTAAAATGTTAAATAAAAACTGGTCCCAAGGGAGTTCACTGTAGATTTTCTTCCAGCCTCTACTTAACCTCCATCTTATATAACATAAACATAAATGTCAGCGTAGCACCGTATCAAGTGTTTAACAATGTCCAGATATGTTTCTGGACATAATGCGTTTCTCCTTTTCCTAGAAAAATCACTGATTTTAAACATATCAAGTAAATTTAGCAGGGTTTTTCTTTGGGAAGCCAGCATTAGGCTTCATGTCATTTTCTGTTAAGCTTCATGTTTTTAATTATTCTTTTCTTAGAGCTTGTTTTAGAACATTGCGTACTGCTATGGTAAGAACAGCCTATACATTTGGATTAGTTCTAAATACAGAAAAAGATGCTGGGGCATGTTACCTTTTAGTCAGGCAAATTGCAAAGCCTTGAATTTTGACTGCAGGGGATAATAGCTGTGGAACAGATGTTTGGTATATTACAAGTGTTTATTATCAGATATTTTAAAATAATAGTTTGTATCTTTTGCTTAGTGTAGGCTGCTGTATTTAAGGGTTTTAGAAAATAACAAAAATAAGTTTTGAGTATTTGATTTCATGTTCTGCCACTAGAAGGAGATAGATAAAATTATGCTTAGAGAGCTTGTTCAATGTTTCTGATAGATGTTTTTAATGAGCTTCTAACTTTTAAAGCTGTATGTAAATGTTGGTAACTTTAGCTAGTTGATCTTATGCTGTATAATATGAGTACATGTGTAGTAAACCCAGTTTTTTAATAGTTCTTAACTACTGGTTTCTATTTATTAAATCGCTGTATTTGGCAATTACATTTTTGCACCAGGTCTTCCTGTCTTTAGATAAAATTTTTCTTAACAAAGTTCTGCCTGAATAAAGCAGAATAAACTCTCTATTCTGAATATATATTTAAAAATTGTCAGAACTGACAGTGCTTCTGTAACGTTAACATTAATACCATCATTCTCTTTTTATAGATGGGAGGAGGTTAAGTGACTTAACTAAAACTACAGAAAGCCCTTACAAGAACATAAATGTGTGCCAGATCAGCCTGTGTAAATCATAGACTGGCATGAACTGCTGATGAAGGAGCCAGTACATTTGTTTGCTTTTATACCAGCCTAAGTGTCATGTAGTGTCTGGGGTCATCTCAGTCTCCTACTTATCAGGAGTCAGGGCGTGCAGTTGGATGATGGGAAATTTTTGGTGCATTAGTGCCAAATGTATTTTAAAAAAGACTACCTCATTGTCAGGCTAAATGTGCCATGGGCATTAGTGGTTTGCCTTGGTCTATCATATCCTGGCAAGAGTATTTCAACAACTTATCTCTTAAAAGAGACTGTCCTCAGAGGCTGCCAGGGAGGTTGAACTGCTTGATGAGATAAATATGGAAATACATGTTTTGAGGATCCAGGTTTTGAGTTTCTGAGGCCTCAGCTAACGATCCTGTCAGTGCTTGAACAGATTTATGTGTACATGCTGCCAGAGGCAAGTACCTAGGTGGCACTTAGGTCAGTTTGAGTCAGTGACAACCAAATGGTAAATTTTAAATAAATGATCGTGTTTGAGATCTACGCACGTAATATGTATACACTAGTTTCAGTGGGTTCACTGCAATTTAAGCATGTTAATGCATATTTTATTTTGGGCCTGCAGTTTGCAAATTTGAGTTGTGGAAGTTCATGGATTAGAGACTTGGACTATCTATTTTAGCAAATAAAATTATTGCAGTTAAGGTACATTACAGGAAATCAGATAAAGTTCACTGAAACACGTAATAAATTCTGGCTTTCTACTTTGTCTCATTTTTCCATTTTCTTGTGATTTTTATCTTCATGCTTGGAATTCCTTCTCAATCCCTTTGCAGAAGGCAATCGCCCTTTCTCCATTCCCTCCTGAACACTTACCTTCTTTGTGAGGCCCTGGCACTAGTCTATCTAAGTAAAAGGTTAAATGTTTTGTAAAAACACAGGGTAAGATAGAGTCTTTGTTTAAGTTCTTGAGTTTTTTTCTGTCTGTTTAGATTGCGAGTGCTTCTGGTTGAAAAACTTTTGTATTACATAGTGAAAAAACATAGAATTTAGTATTTTGAAATTATAATAGATCATACATGTGCGTGTATACACACACGCTACATCTGTAGCCTATGTATCTGTACTATTTGCTGAATTGACTGCTTCAGAAGAAGGGTGTTGTAGTTTCTAGGCTTATTTTAAATTGGAAGTGTAACTAAAATCGATGATGTGACAAAAGGTGATTGTCTGTGAATATTGGAAGAGACTCCTCAGTAAAATGTTACCATGTGAAATGGCTAAATGTAATAATACAATGTTGTAAGGTACAGAGAGATGCAGAAGAAAGCTTGTAAGAGACTAGTGTGTATTTCTGGCTCTAGCCAGGGTTACAGAAGGTAAATCAGCCCCAGGACAAAGGTAATTTGCTGTTAGTATTACAGAGGATGATCTCCATTTGCCTGCAGCTACGTTGCTGAGCCTCTTCAGTTAGGAATTTGCCAGCCAAATCAGCTCATCAATGTCGCCAAAAAAAAAAAAAAAGACCTGCTGGATTCCTTTGCATCTGTGCCTTTGTCTTTTCAAAAAGCTCCTTAAAGATCATGTAAGGAAATCCTAGCAACCCTATTAGACAAAGCACAGTCAGAGAACAGTAGGGTAAAGTAAGGGGTGCTTTATTTCCACAGTGCTTATTCTATTTACTGTGTCTAGTCTAAGACTATGGAATAAGATGCGGTACAGTAGGAGGGAGGGAAGGAAGAAGTTGAGTGAAGGACACCTTTCTGTTCCACCAGATCTTAGTCTAGATGGTCTCACTCCAGTTGTCTTGGAATGAGCATAGTAAAAGCACAGTAAGAGGAGGGAGAAGAGGGGCTGGGAGGGAGACTCGGGCACAGGTGATCCTACAGTAGCTTGCTGGGCTTCTGCTTTACTTTCAGCAGCTAGAATCAGATGCCAGCATAGTAGGAGATTAAAGAAGGGGTTAGACGTTCCCTGAGTTCTGTGCTCAGGAGTCTGGAGGCTTCATGCCAGTCTAGGTGTCATAGACCCAGTTGTTATCCAAGGCAGTTAGTCTGCCCAGATGCTCGTTACCTGGCCTCTGCTTCCCCAGTCTCTTCCATTTCATTTCTACAGACGCTCAGAGCGAGGTCTGTCATGGTAGGAGCAGGGAAAGTTGAGAAGCAGCATGTGAGAGCATCCTACCACCTATTGCATCTCAGCTGTGAAAGGGGAATTGAGCTCGGAAGGGCTGGGGAATCGGAGGTAAAGAGGAGGCAGGTGAGGGTGGGTGTTTCTTACTGAGAACCCTCTTATGCCTGCCTTATGTGTGCATACAGTGCAAACAGCACCACTTCTGCCATTCCCCCAGAGCATGCTGTCCTGTACGGGAGAA